CTATTTTCCTCTGCATATCCATTGGAAGTGTAGGAAACTGCTCACACAGGTCTCCATCGATCACATCCTGTTTTACATAGCAAAGATGAAAGTATATAGATGTCATTCAGAATCAAAAAGATATATATGAAACTGGATGAGAAAAACGGGTTTTGGTTTTTTACCTTGACCGGGAAGTAAGCAGATCTGTAAGCCATGTGGTCTCTGCCACAGAGAGGAGGATGCTCCTGCCTCATATGCATCTCCAGATGAGAAAAGAAATCGACATCATCACGGGATGTGAATGCGTGCAACGCTCCTATGCCACCCATCACTGTTCCATACATTATGGATTCTGATCCTCCCGGTATCATCGAAGCCTTCTGCAAGCACGTCACAACGTCCCCAACGTGGAACTGCACGATCTCATCCACTTTGTTCGGTGCTCCATTCAGCTTCCCTTGCTCCCACTTGATTTTCCCGCCCGTCGGGTCTTCTTCTATCTCCTCAGACACATCCTGAGGCAACCGCACGAAGTAGACATTCCCGAATTTATCTGCACCTGCCATGGTGTCGAAATCCACATGGTGCGATGCTGTCAGCCATCTCGGCACGCAATCATCCGCGAATATGTAGAGCTGATTCTCATCACGTCTGTACTTGCAGTAGTGGAAAGACTGCCCCACAAAAAATAATGAAAAAAAGGCCAACATTAGATTTACTTATATTTCAAGAACCGCACAGTAAAACAAAATAATAAATATGTAACACTCACCTCCTGAATGTCGCCAACGTAGATACGGTCACGGTACGTCTGGATAGAGATGATGGTGTTTGGGAAAAGCTTGTTTTCACATTTCCTAAGGAGTCTCTTTTTCCCCAGATCATACAATCTCAGGATAGGCCCGATTCCTGCCAACAGTCTTCCCTGGAACTGGCACAGAGCAAGAGGAACACCTTCTACTTGTGTCTTATGAAGAAGTTCAAGTGACTTCCCGTCTTCCACAAACCTATATATATGTATGAACCCAGCCACCAGATTCTTCTTTGGCCAGAACTGCATCCCCTTGACCGTGCCAACAGCCAACAAAGTACCATACTCTTTATCATGGAAATTTACCGTACAGACGCTGTATGCAGCTTCGTTGTCCTGAAGTTCAAGGAGACAAGTTGTTTTGGCTGACTTCGGGTCGAGAACTCTGATGCAAGAAACCCACTTTTCTGACTCCGCTTTTGGATAACCGTACTGCTCATCGGAAAGCGGGTCTTCCTTGTCTTTATCATCTGCACCATTCTCCATCTGATCTGCACCGCCATTGCCATTTTCTCCCACTCCACCAGCCGCGAAGCATTCCTTTCTCGCTGCTTCACGCTCTTCTGCGGTGAATGCTCCCTGGTCACTCTCGATAATAACCAACAGCTTCCGCTTGGGATGGATCACAAACTTTCTAGGCGTGTACCTCAGAGGAACCACTGTTTCATTGAAGGTTTCGCCAAGCCGATCAATCATGAAAATTCTCAGCGCATCTCCAGCGACAGAGACAACACCTTCGGCACACTGATCAGATGAAAAAGGTGCAGCGAATTCCAAAGTCTGATAAGAAAGAGGCGTCAAGAGGAAGTGTCCCTGGTGAATATAACCAAGCCAGGGTCGACTAGACAAACACAGCATCGCAGACCGACCTCTCACAGAAATGGAGAACAACTTGGGAGGCTTCAGCCCCAAGAATCTAGAACGAGAATCAGAAAGCTGACCAGTCACCATATCCACCACTGTTCTGAACAGAACACCGTTCTGCAAACCAGAGTTGAGGAAGAGATTCGCCGGGTGATCAGCACCGTCATCCCCACCAATCGATGCCTGAACTTCGAGGAATAGCAGAGACTCTGGAGCTGATGAGACACTCTGCACGCTAAGAATCTGCAGACAGTCATCGGGATCCAAAGATAGAATACGAACAGTATTATCGTAAGATCCCACAGCAAGAAACCGAGATCTTTGTCTTCCTTCAGGAACTGGCGCAATGTCCAGGCAAGCAACATCTCCAGACATCTCATGTTTCTCCACCTCCATCAGCTGACCACTCATATCTGCCTCAAAGTATATAAGCTCTCCCCCACTCAATGCAATGACCACTTGAAGCCGGTTATAGCCAACTTTAACAATCGACCTCTTGCCAGGAGTTCTCCATTCATTAATACGCCCATCTTCTCTAATGTGACGGATACCATTGGGGTGGACTTGCATGAGAGAATCATCACCGATCAGAGAGACAGCCAGGGATGGGGTAGTACCAAGGAACCCACTGTCATTGACTTCTTCGACTGTCTCACCAATTGAGAGAACCAGAGTAGCATTGGTAAAAGAGACGACGATATATGCATCAAACTCATCACTCACATTCTTTTTCACCGTCCACACAGCACTTGGCTGACCTGGGAGCGCAGAGTCAGCCATCTCGCTGACAGCCAAACCAGGTCTCAATATCCTTAAAGAGGAGCGTGGGCCCCTTCCGCAAAGTGAAAAGATCTGAGGGGTTTCTTCCTCAAAAAGGTTTAGGATTTTCATATCCATGAGCGGCATCAGACTCTCGACTTGGTCAATCCTTACAAGGTTCTTAAGTCGTCTAGGCTGAAAAAACACGGGCTGGAAACCTTCTTCAGTCTCCATCAGACTAGAGGATGAAGACTCTACATCAGGTTCCTCCCCTATCGCCTGAAACTGGTACAACCCATGGTTCCCAAATTCTGAAGCAGCAAACAGAAATCCAAGCTTCAACACACATATAGACGCAGCGACAGGAATTGTGTCAAAGTACTTGATCTTCAACTCTGAGACGTTATCGCCATCATGATCAAGAGTAACCTTGAAAACATCCCCATACTCAGTCTGAATAAGAAAGAAGAACATGGTTTTCTGCTTGTGCATAGCAGCAGAAACTACCAAAACTCCTCGTTCAGCAGGCAAATCAGCTCGTCTAGGAATCACGGCTCTCACATCAGGATGACCCTGGTTCTTATATATCACAAAATTCTCAGCGCAAACCAAAACTCCACTCGGGCCATCAGCTCCTCCAGGAACAGTAACAAGCATGTTGGCACCATTGTCAACCGGCTCTGACCACTTTCTAGAGACATGGTTGAGCCCCAAATCGAGCTCATAGAAAGTCAAATGCTTCTGCGCCTCACTCGCTGCCTGACCAGTGGGATCCTGATCTGCCTCCGAGTAATCAAGCTCAATGGCTGCAAACAACGGGTTATCGAAGCCACAATCCACACCGCAGACAGAATAGCAAATGGTATGGGACTTGTGAGCCTCCAAGGGAGATGATATCGTTAACCTAGCAGCAGTATCTCTGTTCAACACATAAACCAGCTTCTGCTTCTCGCAGGCTCCTACCATTACCGCTCTCCCCTTGGGATCAACGGCCAAGTACTGACCAGGCACAATTCTTCGGCAACCTGACTTCCCAAAAGTCTCCTGATGAACTTTATCGAACACATTCTTCTCCTTGTTGTACTCAAGTATAACAATCCTACCCGAATCTGAGCCAACCACGATATAATCCTTCTGCGCACCGGTCAATCTAAACTGAGCTAAGGATCTAATGGCACCAAATACTTCCACAGAGTGAATCGTCTGGATCTTACCGTTCTCGTCCGGACGGAGAAGATCGAGAATCTTGCCGCGAGCAACCGCAATCTCCTGTGTTTTCCCGCCGGAGAAGTTTCCGTTGATCGCGCATATGATTCCGGTCGCCTGTTGCAGAGTAAGACTGTATAGATACATCTCCGAAACAAGAACAGCAGGAAGAGCTAGGGTTTAGGAGAAGGCGGAAACTGTAGTGTAGCTTTTTTTTGCTGGAGAAGAGAAGAGGAACGAATTTTAAGGGATTTCGATCTTAGGAGAAGTTGGCCATCACAAAATCGCCGGAGAACAGTACGAAGAGCTAGGGTTTAGGAGAAACCGGGAAGTGTAGTGTAGGATAGCTTTTTGCTGGAGAAGAGAGGAGAAACAAACCTGACGATGGACTTCGATTTATTTAGTTGAAATTGGCCGTCACAAAATCGCCAGAGATTCAATAATGGGCCTTCTTTTTTATTGTAACTTAACAAAACCGGCACAAATATCTCAATCCAGGCCCATATGAATTAAGGACAAAAATATGGGACATTCTCAAATCTCAATTAGACGTTATGAGTCATATACACAATACAATTTCTCATATCATCATAATCTTTGAAAATATTAAAAAGAAGTAAATAGTTGCAATTGGAAGAAAAAACAAGATTTTGCTTCATTGAAGAGTCGTTGAACACAATCTCTGACTTATCCAAAGATTCTTCAAAAAGAAGATTATGCCAAACTTCTGGATACAAACTTCAAAGTCTTGTCAACAGACGAAGCAATTTGTTTTCAGTTTTTCTTCTTGGTGTCAGTGAATAATATCGCTGATCCAAAGTAACTATGGAGTTTATGGTCAGTATGAAAAGCAAAAAGATTATTTTATACCAAAATGTATAGAGAAAAAAAGAAAGTAGAGTACCTCTCGTCTCTTTTCAGGCGAGATTTATGATCCTGTAAGTATTGACCTCCACGATGGGATCAGATTTGTGACCATATTCATCGTAGATATTATATAACCATCTCATCAGCAATCTGTTAATCACATTTGTAAAATATGTATTGCGATGATTCTCAAAATATTAGAATGAAGTTAACTAATGGAATATGATTCCTTTACACATTTGATTTTCAGTCTCTAGAGTTGGGATCCAAAGATTAGTATTGTTTAGTATGGCCTGATAAATACAACTTAACAATTAAGAATACAAGTCTAGCTTCAACTCTATCTACAAAAGGATTTTAAATAAAGACAACTTATTTCGACACTCTTAAGCATTGGTGAAGTTAATGGACAAGGACAACTTGTAATCCACCATTAAAAGTCAACTAAGAGAACAAATCCAAATATGACAAAACATTGAGATGTTCAACGTTACAACTACATTTCTTAGCAACAAGACATTTGGTCTAGTGGTTCGATTCTCGGAATGCCCCTTATTGACTTTTTCTGAAGTATATGTTCTAAAGCCTGCTGATCGTTATTTAGTCCTAAATTCTTCAGAGATCTTGCTCAACAAACCTTATAATGTTTTCCTTAATGCAATGGAAAAGAAAAACATACCGCTCCACGCCCAATCAATAAATCCTTTTAACTAGTAATCTTCTTAGGGAGGACCATCTAGTTGTAAGCTGACTACTTCCCAGCGAACGAGCTGCAGAAACAGGAGAAGAGAAAAGATTGTGAATAAGCAGTTTAACAGAAAAGCGAAGATAAGCAACACAACTCCCTTACAGAAATGAGAGAATGCAAATAGAAGGCATTAGCTAAACATCTTAAGAAACAGGGCATTTGGTCTAGTGGTATGATTCTCGCTTTGGGTGCGAGAGGTCCCGAGTTCGATTCTCGGAATGCCCCCATTGACTTTTTCACGGTACGTGGACTATATGACAGCGGAGATTTTTTAAATATAATTTTTTTCCGTTTGTACCTGGTTTTTAAAGACGCCATTCAGCAATTCAACAGTGTGTATTTGCCTAATATTTCAACAATATTAAATCACAGACAATCTACCTTCACTACTAAACCCTTGAAGTCAACTAAACGATCTAGATCTAAAATGTAGCTCTCTTTTTGTATTATCTAAACAAGTAAACATTTTCTCACCATATTTTATGAATCAAAATATCAAATAGAAGAGTTTGAACTTACACCTTCAGTATGTTGCCAGCTAAATCAAGAATAAACTCCTCAAGAGAGAAAGTTAGGAGCGTAATTTTCCTGTGAATAAGAGTGAACCGTGTTTTATCTTTCCGCAAAGGATTAGACAACAATGAAATACTTGCATAGAGCTAAATTAACAACAGGGCATTTGGTCTAGTGGTATGATTCTCGCTTTGGGTGCGAGAGGTCCCGAGTTCGATTCTCGGAATGCCCCCATTGACTTTTTTGGAGGCCTATTTCAAATGCTAGTTGATGACTATCACAGAACAAACTATTCTTTAGTGCATGAGTTGTCACATGCACTTCTCTTCAACTTTTAGACAATAATCTATGACTTTTAGTATAATTACTGAAATGCAAGTAAAATAATGAGAATCACAATGCACCTTGGCTTTCACGTCAGGGCATCAGAGAGCATCGCTAGCTGAATGCTTCCAGATTTCTTCCAAGAGATAACTGCGGGAAGTGAAAAGAAAAAGCGTAAAACCTCTGTCTACGTTTCAAGAACAGTTATGCATTGACTGTTAATCAACAACAGGGCATTTGGTCTAGTGGTATGATTCTCGCTTTGGGTGCGAGAGGTCCCGAGTTCGATTCTCGGAATGCCCCATTGACTTTTTGTAAAAGAAATGCTCTAAAATGCCAGCTAACGTTTTGTCAATATTAAATTAAGGACAATTCACCTTAGCCACTGAATGTCAACTGATCTAAAACGTAGTTTCTTTTTTAGATTATCTAAACACAACACCAAAGACAAATGCTAATTGCTGGAAGAAAAGAAAACTTAATAATATGAACTTACTCTAGCTGTTTGTTGCCATCTTCATCAACAACTGAATTATGAACCCTCAAAAGGAAAACCCCCAAGAGTAAAACTTCCTGTAAAAAACAGAGAGAAGTGTGAATTCTCTTTTCCACATGATTGACCAACACAATGCTTCAATCGAACTAAATAAACATCAGGGCATTTGGTCTAGTGGTATGATTCTCGCTTTGGGTGCGAGAGGTCCCGAGTTCGATTCTCGGAATGCCCCCTTTGACCTTTTGCAAAACATATCTTCTAAATGCAAAAGCTAACATTCCATCAATATTAAGTTACAGACAATCCAGTTTCACAATAAAGCCCTGAAAGTCAACTAATAAAATAATTTCTTTCTTGCATCATCTAAACAAGAAAACATTCTAATGTCAGATCTAAAGATAATATATTAAACAGTAGTATAGTGGACTTACTCTAGCTGTTTGTTGTGCCATCTTCATCAAGAATAAAACCCCCAAGAGTAATATACTGCCAGGTTATCCAAAAGCTTACCACCTTCATCAGTTGGTTTCCTGAAAACACAAACGCAATCATATATTCGACTTTCAAGAACAGTTATGCATTGACTCAGTTACATCAACAACAGGGCATTTGGTCTAGTGGTATGATTCTCGCTTTGGGTGCGAGAGGTCCCGAGTTCGATTCTCGGAATGCCCCCGTTGACTTTTTTGGAAGTCTATTTCAAATGCTAGTTGATGACTATCACAGAACAAACTATTCTTTAGTGCATGAGTTGTCACATGTACTTCTCTTCAACTTTTAGACAATAACTTATGACTTTTGGTATAAATACTGAAATGCAAGTAACATAATGAGAATCACAATGCACCTTGGCTTTCATGTCCACTGGCTCACAATGTGCAGCAAGAAAACACTTTCTCGGTACCAGAGAGCATCGCTAGCTGAATGCTTCCAGATTTCTTCCAAGAGATAACTGCGGGGAGTGAAAAGAAAACGCTTAAAACATGTGTCTACGTTTCAAGAACAGTTATGCATTGACTGTGATAATCAACAAACGGGCATTTGGTCTAGTGGTATGATTCTCGCTTTGGGTGCGAGTGGTCCCGAGTTCGATTCTCGGAATGCCCCGTTTGACTTTTTGCAAAACATATCTTCTGAATTCAAGCTAACATTCCATCAATGTCAAGTTACAGCTAACATTCCATCAATATGAACAAGTTACAGACAATCCACTTTCACTATTAATCCCTGAAAGTCAACTAATAAAACTAGATCTAAAACGTCAGTCATTTCTTGAATTATCTAAACAAGAAAACATTCTAATGTCAGATCTAAAGAGAAAATATTAAATAGTAGAATAGTGAACTTACTCTCGCTGTTTGTTGCTATCTTCATTAAGAATAAAACCCTCAAAAGGAAAAACCCCAAGAGTAAAATTTCCTGAAAAAAGCAGAGAGAAGTGTGAATTCTCTTTTCCACATGATTAAACAACACAATGCTTCAATGGAACTAAACAAACAACACAATGCTCCAATGGAACTAAATAAACAACAGGGCATTTGGTCTAGTGGTATGATTCTCGCTTTGGGTGCGAGAGGTCCCGAGTTCGATTCTCGGAATGCCCCCCTTGACATTTTTTAAGCAGATTGTAAAAACTACAACTGACAGTTTTGCCAAGACAACATTCAGCACAATTTAACCTTGTAATTCATCAAAATCTATAAACACTCACCCTTTAGCATTAACCGCTGAAGGTCAACCAATAGAACTGGATCTAATACGTAGCTTTCTTCGTAGATCTTTATTAACAAGCCAAAATTTTACCCTCTGTAATCTAATCACCAAAAAATAGAATTGATAAAACTTAACCTAACTGTATATTGCCAGCTTCGTCAAAATATAGACATCAAAAGTAAAAGTCTTGCACGTGAACAAATCTTGAAACGTTTTGCTAAGTCTTAAGGGCCGAACACCAATCGAACACAATAACATCATCTTTCTTAAAGAAAGAACCAACAAACACATATCAAATTTATATCCCACAAGACATCAGATAGAAGACACTTACAATTGCTGTACACTGCTGGACTCTCCATGAATGAGCAGCAAGAATAGGAAAAGGATTGAGCTCCTGCCTTTAGAACAAGTCTACAGTGGGACGTGTTCATATGCATTCTTCCAAAATTCAGGTATGCAGAATCGAAACCAGACACAAACAAATAAAATGCCAACGCAGAACTAGATAAAACCAAAACTATGCAATAACACGAAAAGAGGTCTCAATACAAAGAAATGGTGGTCCTAGGGTTGACCTACGAGGCAATAAGTAAACCTAACTGAATGTACCACTGGAACACAACAAATCTAGTCCAGAGACAACAATCTAATTGCTTTGAATCTAAAATGACGGCTATCAACACAACTAGTTAAAAATCACAAGTTTATTTGCAAATTTGTTCAGGATACAAATATATTCAGTACAAGTTCTACAATGGAAAATGAGCCTTTGAAGGTGAGTCTGAGTTGTTCTCCAAATCCACAATTGAGGGTGATGTTTGCCTAGAACCATAACCAGCCAATTCTTCTCTGATTCACAGTTACGCATCACGTGGAAACAACTCAGAAATGAAGTCTAGACAAAAGTTTGATATGATTATAGCAAATTCAAGAATACACACTAACCTAGATCGTGAAGAGACAGACACCCCATCCAATAATCTCCTCATAAACGGAAGATTCATGGGAACTTGTAATGAATCTGGAGCTTCAGCTTCTGCGTCTGCATAGATATATACAAGCAAGTAGCCTAGTTCTTCATTCACTGGTACAGGATCAGTTGTATGGATTGTTATTGTCTTTTTGTTGATTTTCTACGGGAAGAAGACCAATCTAGGAAACATCACACGAAAAATCATGATCATTAAGGCATACACGTATGTTTTTCTACCATTTTAGGGTACTTAAACTTAGGGCACTGCTCGACGAAAGCAGGTGGTCTTTGATAAGTCACAGATGCAGCTCTGATCAAAATCCCGGCAGTTAAACCCCATATCATATAATCCTCATCTCCTGTTTTGTAGTCAAAGTAGTGGATCAAATACTTTTCGCCCATCCACTCTCTCTCTTCAGATCTCCGGTTCTCATCCTGGAAAAAAAAAAATCTCAAGCATAAGGAAAAACACAACTATAGCTCAAGTAACTTGATGAGAAAACAAGAGGAACCTTAAGGAACATTTCCAAGGGTACATCAAACACAGCTTCCACTTCCGCAGGATTTGGTGTCGGAATGAATGTTTTTTTGTCCCTCAAGATTCCTATCACAGGAATTACTCTAAGGAGATGCTATAAGACAATGACGAAAATGTAAGAAAAAGTATCAACCAGCAATGGAGAATTATGCATCTCTCACTTTACAAAAGAAAACACATTCACGATAGCTAGAAAGCTTTCAAAAAAGTCACTTTGGCTAGCAGATCCCTGCTACTATGATCTAGTAGAGCTAAGATAGAGGTTCAAGAATCAAAGCTAGATAGAGCCACTGGTAGCTAATACTATGACCTTAGCGTTCACACACAGATCAACAAAGATCGTCTTTATCACCAGTAATAAGACAAGGAGAATTGAGTGATGATACCTTCGACAGAAATGGTTCGAGAGAAGTGACAACATCAACAAGCGAAGGGTCCAATCCAATCTCTTCCTCGGCCTCTCTGGTTGCAGTCATCCCATCATCTACATCATCTTCCTCCGCTTTACCACCAGGCAGTGAAACTTCTCCTGCAACCAAAAACACCCTTTAAAACGCTATCCTGAGCAGTAAGCTGATAGAAACCACCTAACGATTTAGATCAAATGCATCAACTCTGAAAAAATCCGAAGTCAAATGATTTCCAAATTCAAAGACGGAGACCGTTAACCTCAAACAGTACAATCCTTTCTAATCTTATGTGAATGAGCAGAAACAATTTCTGAATCCAATTCTACTCAAATAAAACCAAAACGAGAAGCAAAAGCAAGCACAGACCCGAGTGAGTAGACAATCTGGAGGACCTCTTAGTGAGGATGACGCGCAGATCTCCATCGTCTCCTTCGAAGATACAGATCAACACAGCCGCTCTCTTGGGTCTGAACCTCTCAGGGTCTTTCAGAATCGAAGCCATGGACTCCTGAAATCCAACCTGAGAGACCACTTTCCCGGCGGTCTCCTGATCTGCCTGCATCTCCTCGGCGCCATCGAACGATGAAGGAGGCGGCGGTTTGTATCGGCGCAGCTGCTGGGCCAAGGCTGCGAGCCGAGAAGACCCACCGAAAGAGGAACTCGCCGCCGTCGCCGCAGGGTCCATGGAGTTGCAGAGAAAGGTCGCGCGTGCAAGGGAGGGAAGCCTGCGGTGGAGCAAAAACATCAAAATCCCCGATTGCGGAAATGGATTCTGTGTGGGTGTGGCAAAATCTAATCATTAAGAGAAAGATATCATATAACAATTAAAAGAAAATTGCAGAAAATTGCTTACCTCCTCGTGACTCACGCACGTGTTTCTCGTCCTCTTCTTTTTCGCCTTCTTTCGCTCGTGGGGAAGCATCACTTTTTTTGGAATTTCAGTTCTTTAAAAATTGCAAAGCCAAGCTTAAGAAAAAAATATAAAAAATAGTGTTTCTAAATAAATCTGTTGTGCAAAAAAAAACATAATTATTTGTGTGTTTTCTTATATACACAACTTTGGTGATGGTGAGCAAAAATGATATAAGTTTGGTGTTGGTTTTTTTACCGACAAAATTTTACTCTACAGAAATTCGGTTTAATTTTACTTATTTTTTTTTTGGAATAAATGTGTTGAACCCAAAAAAATGTTTTAAAACTGTGTTTTAATTTCAGAAACTTTTTAATGAGGCAATCTTTTTTGTCAAAATCGCTTTATCCTTGAAGTAAGAAGCAAGTTTCAAGCCCTTCTCCACATGGCGCATCCTTGAGTCTTCGGATTGTCGATTTCGCATTTGCTTGTCCATGAACTGCACCATCTGCCTGGGAGAGATAGCTTGTTCATCTTGTTTTCTTCTATTTCTCTCAGGCCAAATCGACTGAACGCCAAATTGAGTGAACGGTGATCTGAAAAACATATTGAAGGAGGAATTTAAATAGTGGTTGTGTTTTAGGTAAATTTATACTGACTTATATAGTTTGTTAGCTAGCTTCATAGAAACTAAAATACGAATACAAGTGCAAACTGGTAAACCACCTATTACAACATTCAACCCAAGTAATTGAAGGGTTGGTACGATTATATGGACTTTTTCCTTTACAAAGTGAGAGCAGAGCCGGGTAATATATACTTTTTCCTTTAGGTCTTAGAAAATGTCTTATAAAATCTAGTTACATTATTTTTTATTATATATATTTCCTGTAATATGTTTTAAAAATATCAAATTTTTATCATAATTTTCTGTTTCTAACTTTTCAATAATAAATGTATAGTTTTATAAAAAAAATTTGAAAGATTGCCTCTATATATATATTTTTACTTTACACTATTGCGTGAATACAAATTTTTAATAATTATACAAATAGAAGATCACATATTTATATTGTATATTTTCATATATAACTTTTTTAACACTCTTAAAAATTTGTATATCTTATTACTTTTCAGTTTTTTTTTAATTTTTCTATTAATAATTAGTAATAACAATCCTTGAAAAATTTGTAAAAATTATATATTTTATCATAATTAGTTTGTACATTTCTATTTAGAACGTATTGTTAATAATTAAAACAAAAACATCAAAATACCTTTTCTTTTAACAATTATAAGTTGTTTTAATATTTACATTTTTTATTATATATAACTAGTTCATATAAATTTCTGTTTAATCTTTAATATATCGTAGATTAGCCCCGCGAAGCGGAGGTCCTATTCCTAGTATACATTAATGGAATATCCTAACAATTTATTATATTTGATAAAACTTTTGAGAAAGTATATATCATTCCATTGTTCGATCTAAAAACTCAAGTTCGATCTACGAAAGAACTAGGGTTTGTAGGTTTAAAGAGAAATCTTTTATTAGAAGAAGCCAGAGCTTGAATGAATACACGAGGGTTTAGGTCGTCGGAATAAGAACGCCGACCTAAATTTTTATGGAAAGTAAATCGAAAGCTAGAACAATCAAATTGTTTAGTTTGCCCTAGGTCTCGATAGATAATTTTTGGATGGATTTCAGGAGTCGAGGACTTCCTATATTTATAACTTGATCAGGTCGGTCTTCAACCTGTTTAGAATAGGAAATCCTTCTTGCCGACAAAAAAGAGTTTCCCTTTTTCCTCCAGGTCGTTCGATAAATGGAAGATTTTCTTTTATATTACCGACCTGAAATTTGTTAGACGGGCTGACCAAAATTCATATCAAGCTTGTTAGAGACGGTACGAATCTCTTCTCTAATACTATTCCTAGTATACATTAATGGAATATCCTAACAATTTATCATATTTGATAAAACTTTTGAGAAAGTATATATCATTCCATTGTTCGTGGCTCATAAACATATGAATCGGTGGTTTAAAATAGCTTAGAAAATGGCGTTTACGTGTTATGTAGAATGTGATCCATTGGAGCATATATATATTTAACTATTTTGTGATATAATCTCCGATCGTGCCCACTGTCCACCTAAATTCACGAAAAGGAACTGCAACAGTCTTTTTGAAACCTTTAAACTCAAACCAAACCTATTTATTGTCTCTGAAAATTTGTCCTTTTTGAAATAACATTTTAGTAGTTTATAGATAACGTCTACCGTACTATTTCTTGTTGTGATTGAGTTCCTAATTCTTTTTTTCTTTTTTTTCATTGGTACTTTCTACGAGCAGTTGTTAAGACCAAAGAAACAGCAAACAAAGCATCATAATAACAATTGAATCAGACCAAATAGAGCTGTAGAACAAAAGAATGGGAGAAAAAGAAGAGAAGAAAGAGAAAGGAGAAGAAATCATCACCGCCGTTTATAAGGTTCACCTTCACTGCCGGAAATGTGCATGCGACATCAAAAAGCCTCTTCTTCGATTCCAAGGTTACGCCTCATCATAGTTTAGACGATATCCACTTCAAGTCGATGTGTTTGAATAAAACATATATAGTATAGAGAGGATAGATGGTTATTATTACATTTTTAGTATCTCTTCATGAGGTCTCAACTTTAAGCGTTGCATGTGGTGGAGAGTATTGAGTTATTTACTTTAGCTTTCTAATGTCGTCTCCGAGTCCAAACTGTTAAAGAGATTATTTGCATGGCAGTTTTATGTTTAAGTGGTCGATACAATATCCATGGGAAAATAATAGGCAGTAGCTTCATTCAAACTTTAGTCGATCGATCTCAAGCAGCAATTACACATTTTATTTGATAGAATATCATTAATTAATTATCAAATTTTGGTTGTCCTTGAGAGAATTATTGTTGATATAATCACAAGGGCTGTGCTCTAGTAACATTTTGATTAATAATAATTAATATTTTAGGGGTTCATGGTGTGGATGTTGATTTGGAGAAGAATGAAATCAAAGTAAAAGGGAAAATAGAAGTCGTGAAGATTCACAAGCAAATCGAGAAATGGAGCAAGAAAAAAGTTGAGCTCATCTCTCCCAAACCCTCTGATGTTAAGAAAACCACCACTACGACGACAACAACTTCTGTGGTAGCGAAGACAACCACCGAGGTCAAAAAGGTGAATTTGCATACCATATACTCATATTCATGTGAGCCTTTTTTTTGCTTTGTTGTCCAAAAAAAAAAACATGCATGTGAGCGTTTTCATATAATTATCCACAGGATGTTATTCGCACGACAGTACTAAAGGTACACATTCATTGCGCAAAGTGTGATAAAGATCTTCAGGAGAAACTCTTGAAGCATAAAGGTAATATCGGGTTGGATATAATTTGGAAAAAAGTTTGATCATCACATGTCAATTTAATTTGTATATTGATATATATATATATATTATTCTAGAGGTCGGCTTCTAACTTGATTAATTTGGCAGCTATTCACATTGTGAAAACGGATACAAAGGCGCAAACGCTAACAGTACAAGGGACGATAGAATCCGCAAAACTTTTAACCTATATAAGGAAGAAAGTTCACAAGCATGCAGAGATCGTAAGCTCAAAGACAGAAGAAGAGAAGAAGAAGGAAGAAGAGGAGAAGAAGAAGAAATTAGAAGAGGAGAAGAAGAAGAAAGAAGAGGAGGAGAAGAAGAAGAAAGGAGAGGTGAAAGTAGAAGTGACCAAGACGATTACTCAAGTTGTGGAGTTTAAAGAGAAAGTAAAAGTTGAAGGTCAAAAAGATAAAGATGGAAACGTACCTTACTTCGTCCACTACGTCTACGCTCCACAATTGTTTAGTGATGAAAACCCTAATGCTTGTTGCATTGTCTAAAGTTACATGTTTGTATTATGCAGGTTTTTATAATATACATTTATATCAAAGCCGCTAGCTCCACACAATATTCAAAATTATGCGATTAAAATTATTTAATATTTTGACCATTTTGATGATACAGTTTTTTTTACTATTGAGTGACTTAGTTTTAATCAAATAATAAATGATGATGTTTTTTTTATTAAGAAAGTTATATAAGCTTTGCGTTTTTAGCTTAAACATTTTATATGTTGAAACATATAGATATTTGCATATATTGTAAATAACAAGTTTGGATTTCCGTTTTAAGCATTTCAGCATTTAGATTTTGCAGATTTAAAAAATATAAACACTTCGTGCATATCGAAACTCTATAAATTAATATTCCATAAATCAATATTCGATAAATTAATAATTTTACTCGGTCTCAAAATTTATTATTAATAACTATTAAAATTTATAAATTAATAACTCTATAAATTAACAAAATATCAGAATCTCAATATTATTAATTTATAGAATTTATTCTGTAAATCAAATATTGAATTAATGTGAAGTTCTTTATCTACTACACATTGATAATCAAAATTTTATAGCAACCGGTATCAATTATTTTAAAAGTGTAAATAAGAATTGAATTTGGATGTTAGACGACAATTTAGAATAATACGATATAAAAAGAAACATATATTTATGGATTCAAAAGGAATAAGCACATTGTGAACGATTGACTAAGACTATTTGCATTGAGAGTTATTTTAATGAGTTTCTCAACATTAAAAAAAATAGTAATAATAAAAAAGAAAAGAGAGAATAAGATGAATTTCTCAAATATGAGACTATGAAAGATATTTTTTATTATAAGTGATTCAATTTTTTTTGTAAATCTAAAATTAATTATTAAGTTAAATTATCCTTATAATATCCATACTGTATTAGCAATGAAGATGCTCTAAAATTGTGGATCAGCCATTTCGAGGTTGTAAGAGCCTGAAAGAATCCATTACATAAAGATTTGATTTTTGTGTGATTATCCCATATCTACAGTAAATGTGGTATCTTTTCTTATTCATTTTCTCTATTTTCTGAAAGATCTTTGTCTTATATTCTTGTTCTCAGTTGGTAGATAGATATCTTACGTTCAGAATTAAATGCTGACTAAATTGATGTGTAATCTTTAGTCTTCCCCCATAAGATATACTATAATCTTTCGTATTTTGAGAGATGAACTATTTACTTACTTCAGAAAGGTCAAATGTTATATGACATATAAGTATTAATTGACCATCCGGAAGATTTGTTTCTTTTTTCCTCATTTCTTATCACACCAAAACTTTTCTTGTATGCACTTCCCTAATTAGTTTTTTCCTTCTTCTTCTTTGTGTATGAAGTTCAACACCTCTCTGTAGCTGCATTATTTTAATCCTTTAAAAACAGAAATTACATGCAATTTACTTTATTAGACATTTGACGTAACTTTATGCTTTTCCGATTAGATATTGTACCAATTAGGGTGGCCAGAATATTTTGACCTGTAGGCCTACTAAATATTACCTTTTCGTGTACGCGCGTTAAACAAGTTGATTTTACAAATAGTAAAGATTAAGACACCCGCGAAGCGAACAAATAATTTTTTTAATCAAATCTATATTGGTTGGTGAGAATATCAAATATATATTGTTATTACAACATAACAAAAACAAGTAATAACTATATATCTGAGTTCAACAACGATGAAACAAAAAATCTTTAGTTTTAAAGCTGACGCATAATGTGAATGCATGAGACCATGCCATGATGCCAATATGAAGATAATACCGTAACGAATATAGAAAGAAACTATAAATTATACTTCTAAATGAAGTAACTTTATTTTTCAGTCTTGATCTGAGATAACATACATACATGTTGCACCTCAACAATATCTCAACAGATATAATCATGTTCTAACAGAATATACAGAGTAAACGACAAGAAACCTATGGCAACTGTATCAAGTGGGATACAAATACAAATACAAATATATTGCGGGAATCACCTAAAACTCCAATTTATTATGATAAATGATTTCTGATGATCTTCAGCTTTCCGAGTGAAAATTTTATAATATTATGGAAATCCCAAGTTTTACGTTCTCTGATGATTGGCAGCTTCCAAAATAAGAAGGTTTTTTATTCCACTTACAAAATTGCAAGAAACCCCCTACAACTTTGCAAATGATCGGATAAACCTATTTCAGTATTACAAAATTGATTCATTCACATTTACATTCATAAACTTTGAATTTTTGATGTTGCTACACTTTGATATTAAAGTTATGAAGATAAACTTTTGAATTTAGACAAATTGTGGGCTAATCAGGCAATTTCAAAGTTCTTTCTTGAAAATGAATCAAATTACATTTTGTTTGTTTTTTTTTTTAAATTTCCTCCAATGAACACAAAGCATTGAAGAAAGCACATACAACTATATCTGAAAGAAAATCACGGAAATAAATGTGTGGATTCATGATCTCTCTCTCCAGGTGTTTTTCATCATATAATTCATAAACAAGAGAGAGAAAGAAAGATCTTAAGAGAGCTAAAAACATGGGGTTGAAAATTCCATAAATCCCCAGAACTTTTCTCACTGCGAAAGAAGAGCCGATTTCATCTCAGATTTACTTCCCTTTAATCTCTCCGACTTTTAATGATTTTTATTTCTTTCTCCTTTTGCCACTAATTTTTTTTTTATCTTCTTATATAATAAGACTGATCTCTCTCTCTCTGAACCATCATGATCATAAACTAAGACCGATATAAGAAATCAAAAAGAGTGATCAAGAGAGAAACAGAAGAAGAAGAAGAAACACTAAAAAAAATGTGTAGTAAGACGAGCAATGGACGAAAGTATGGAGATGATTACTCTGGTTTGTGTCCCAAGAAACAGAAACATAACAATGGAAGAAGAAGAGTCCCACGAAGAGGTCCTGGTGTCGCTGAACTCGAGAAGATCCGTCTCGAAGAACAACACAACGCCCCTTCCGTACAACTCTCATCTCCTTCTCCTCCTCCTCCTCCTCCTCCGCGGGAAAAACCTCCGACATCGTTTCTTCCGACATCATCATCCACCGAGAGAACCGGCCCGGTTTACCCATTCCCGTCTTATTTCTCTACCGGATCTTTCCCCGATGATTTGATCCCTCAGGCTCCGATTTTTCAGAGGAATCACGATCCCTCTCTTCACTATCTCCCACCGGTAAAAAAAATACTCGAAAAGAAAACATTTTCAAGAAATTAATATTCGATTTTCTTTTTTTTGTTTTTTTTTTAAAGAATTTTTGTTTACAGATGAATCTACCGAATCCAGGATCTGGAGGATTTTATCAATTCATGGAGCCCCCTTCAAACCAAAAACCATGCCTTGATAATGAAAAGGCAATTTTTAAAGTTAAATTCTTAAAAAAAAATAAAAAAATTCAGTTTAATTTTTAATAATCTCTTTTAATGGGCACTGTATCAGATCTTGGCTGCGAAGAGGCCATTGCACTTTCTCTCAGAGACCACAAAATGTAGTGTTGTACCGACCATGACCATCTCAAGGTCTGTTTTCTAAAATATAATCACGTTCTTGAGTTATATACACTTATTTTATTAGAATTCAAATTAATTTATTTGACATTTTTTTTTCAGAGATGATGGTAAACAAATCAAGTCAGTAGACCAAAGATTGAAAAATCATTTTCAAGATTCAGGAACCACAATTCGAAATCCAATCACCATTGATTCTCCTTCTCCCTCAACTCCTTCTACACCGATGATCCCACTCCATTTCCCGCGCTTCTTACAGGTAATAATGCAGTTTCAATATGTTCTCTATCATGAGTTTGGTTGATTTGTTTCAGTTAGTTACATTTCTCATCTTTCTGGTTTTCTAATCGTGAACAGAAACAAGATTTTGATCATGAATTCGTGTCACCAAGGAGCTTTGTTAATCTTCCCTCAAACATAAAACCGTTCTACAGCTTCTTGCCCGCGAATGAGCAGAGTACTCACGAGCAAGATCTATCTTTTAGCTTGAAAACCGATAGATATGACGCAGTCACTGATCACGGCATTGATCTTCGTCTTAAGTTATAAGAAAAAAAAATATTTATAAGAACAAGACTTCGAATCTTTACGTCAGTTTGTAGTTTTCGATATATAAAACAAAGATTTGGCTTTGGTTTGTATTTTTTTTTTCCTTTTAATAGACAAATATAATGCAAGTGAAATCATCTTTATGACCACTTTAACTCCAAAATTAATATGTCACAGACCAAAATCGAGTTTTTTCTCAGTCAAAGAACTCATAACACGACATTTCACATAAGAGATTTCTTTCTTTCACACAAGCTAGAGAATGAAAGGACAGAAACAGGTCAAGACGTGCCATGGCAGTGAACTTGGTCAGAAACAGAGTAAGACGTGCCATGGAAGTAAACTTGGAACAGAGTTTCTTAGTGAACAGTTTTGTCGGATTCGTCTCTTCTTATACGAGCATATATATACACAGAAACTATATAAAAGAAAACTAATCTTACACTGTAGCAAGTTTTTGGTTTTTAAATAATATTAGTATAAAGAAAGACTCTCTTGAGTTGGTCAAGTGATCAAAATTAGCTCTTATTGTAATATTTCAGAACGTGTGTTCAACCTCTCTAATTAAGGTATATATAGATTTCTTTAGGACTATTGACTTTTGAATTTTGATTAAGGAACTACTAGTGTTCTTGGTTTAAGATTTGAAATCATCCTCACTACATCACCTTAATGTCATTCTTATTTACAAAGATTGAAACTTTATACTTATCTCTTAATGTTTAACACAAAAGAGCTCTTAATTCTTAAACATACAGTTGCAGCGGGAAACTTTTGAAAAACGTAGTGGATCGAAATGGAAAACAGCACAAAATCTCGAGAAAGTGAAAAAACTCTCGGAAACATTCACTGACTATATGTTAGAGGTGAAAGAAGCTCCATTCTTGTCTAAAGACTTAAAATGGAGATAGATTAGGACAAGAGACAAGAAGTAGAGAGCAAAGGCCAAGACATATATCCAAAACGGATAAGTTGACCTAACGTAAGCCGGTACGCCTATTGTGAGGCCCCCAAAATTCTGCAAGTGCTTATGTACTTCTGACATGAGCTCAAATCTTGCGTGATCTAAGAAGCTCTTCTCTTGGTCCGCTTAATCAAAGTACTGCGACGAAAGTGTGTTAGATTTAAGCACAAAAAGATCACTTACCATATGAAACTTGGAGCTTTTTCTCATGTTTTGGGGGTTGACTCATACCGTATAAAAAAAGTAGACAACAGTTGAAAAACAAGAGATTATTAGAGTAATCAAGACTATAATGTCATTCCAAGATTTGGAATCAAACATCTCTGAAAGTATGACCATGAAGAAAGGCAATATCATGAATCTATAGGGTTTTTTTTCTGAAGATAAAGAAGATCTTGCCGAAATTATTCTATAGACTTCTCCATTTCTTATGGACTGATCTGATCCCAAACCAGACAAGCCAAAGACAACACAAGCTCCCCACTGCATAGTCAAAGCAAAGACAGTGTATCCAACAGTAACTCCAACGTTATTATCCACCATCGAGTTTGCTCTCTCGCCGCTTCCCATAAGTCCAGTCGCTGAGATTAGATCAAACCCAAAAGAAGTTTAATCTTTCATTGTAGAGTCTAAAACGTTCAAAAAGTTAAAGAAAAGAAAAAAAAAGAACTTTTTACAGAGAATAAGGGCTATTCTTGGGAACATTAGAAGGAGAGGGAACACAATTCCGCCGTAGAAACCGACCTCGAAGATGACAAAGAGCTTAGACCTTCCTTCAGACACGAAGTATTCACCTATTATCAACAGACAACGGGAAAACTTGGAAGAAATATCCTAAAATATTGTCTGCACATGGCAGAAAATGCGTAGACATGATCACAAGCATCCTTGGAAATGCGATTTGGCGGATCGACACTGAGAAATTTATAGCTGGATCCATCGGAGAATAATATCGATTTTTCCTCAGACAAAGAACTTAAAGTACGACAGTTCACAGCAGATTTCAAAGCTACTAGAGAGAAAAAAAGACAGAAACAGAACATGACGTGCCATGGAAGTTAACTCGAAACAGAGTTTTTACTGAGCAGTTTTGTAGTGTCCTTTTTTGTTACGCGCATATGAATACACTAATCACGTGATGTACTTATGTGTGTGTAAAGGGAAATAGTATCAATTAAACTAATCACTTGATGTCTCAACCTCTCTCTTAATCCCTATTATGTCTTTTAACATTAGTATCGTAATATTCTTTTGTAATTACCTGTCAATCCTAAACTGGACAAGTGTCGCGTTTTAGAAAAATTATTCCTCTGTTGTTTAGTTAGTGACAACAAAATTAGATGCAAATGCGGAAAAAGGTGGACAGAATGAGATATTGGCATTGAAGGAATAGAAACACCTTTGTTTTCCACTATGTTCCTCCATATTCTTATTTTGTGATGCTCATTTCTTTTCATCGTACCATTACTTTTAATTTCATCAATGGAAATATTCTATATTTCTTTATGTATTGCTTGTTATTCTCATTTTAAAATACATATTTTAAGGACAATTTTCAGCCGGGAATGGACCGAGAGTTAGGCAACTCCGTGCTGAATTTGGCAAATTGCAGACAGCAAAGTGACACTGAGATCCATGGAGATACAGGAAATATTTCCTGGAACGAGGCAGCATTTGTTAATGCAGCATGGATTTGAATTTTTACGACAATATCTGCTGTTGGAGAGCTGAAAGGTTTCTCCATCAAAAGCTTCTCTCTGAAAGTCCTGAACGTTCTTATATTCAGTAGCTCGAGGAAAAGTGTGTCAGTGATCGCGCGGGATGAAGATGGCAAAGTCATTTGACCTTGTAAAGGATGATGCTCTCTCCCCACTATTGAAACTCGGATAGAAAATCTCTTTTGGAACTTAATTTCAACTTAGGTTATTGCCAACTCTCATGTTTGAAACACTTTCCAAAAGTATGAAGAGGGAAACCCTCGACCATTAACCAAAAATAGTATAACTTTTACTCTAAACTGACTTCAAATCACGATCAAATGACTTGTTTCCCTTCAAACATCCCGGGGCTTCAAATGATTTGATAAAGAGTGAAAAATACACTTTGATTTAATAATAAAAAAAAAACTCAAGAACAAAATTAAAAATCCCAGTTTAACAAGTTAAAATTATTGCCAAAAAACTAAAACAAACATTCACTTGCGCTATCTCACAATTTTCAGTAATTCCACTTTATCTTAGTATCTTGTTCTTTTCTACCAAATGGATCAACAACAAATATCCATCACGAGCCGTCTGTTCCGCTTCCTTGCCTTACAAATATCAACAAACCTATTGTGTTCAAAGATCACTAATGCAAAACACAAGATTACGTGTGTAGCTTTAGCTTATGACACGGAGATAAGAGACTTAGTTATGGAAGGACAAACAATAACTTTATTTAATGGTAAACTACATGATGTTTGATAGATTGGTAGATCCAACATGGTAGATCCTACATAAGATTGTGAATGTTGATCGCTTAAAGGCTTCCTTGCCATAGCGATTGAAAAGTTAAATATAACAAACATTCGAAAAAACTTCTTATCCTTGATCTGAACGGATTGGTCGCTGATATAAAATTTAATCTTGGATGAGCTTTAACATTTTTTGTTGCTAGTTCACACCAATACTATTTGAAAGTGATCTATTAGTTTCTTTGTTTCTGTTAGTTGATCGAAAACCATTTTGTGGAGACTTTCTCAAGTTCCGCTTTGACAAGTTTGATGTTGGTATCTGGTCTTCAAAAAATAAGCAAGGGTTACACATATAAAGTTGATCAATTAGTTCCATATCCATGTGTACAGAATTAATTTTTATTTTTACTTGCAAGAAAAATGTTGAATCTGTTGTTGATGAGTTGTTGCGTGATATGAAGAATAAATTATTGTTTTGTTGGATAGGTGGTTAAATCTACGTTGATAAAGTTTGGATGCTTGTATATAATTTAATTTGATTATTGTGATGTTTTGATCATTGTGTGAGTAGCTAGGATCATAACAGTAAAATTTGGAATGCAAAAAAATTGATTTGATAAATTGAATATGTGATCATTTATTTGGTGTTTGACGTAAATTTAGTCATCTCAACAACAAAGTGGCTACATGCACACGAGCTACATGTTGTTTGACAACTTAAATCTAACCAAAATCTACTCAGTATATAGAGATTTATCTCAGTTGTATTATATCACATTCACAAAGTATGAACAAATGCATGGTATAAAGCAATATTAATATCTCTAGAAATTGAAATTTGTCAATATTGATAATAAGTTGGTTGTCTTTGTATTGAAATTCTTGGTTCTTGAATCTGCTTTCACACTTGCTTTTGTAGATTGTTGTCTCGATGCAGACACTAGAGAAGAGATTCACACTCATGCTACTCACCAAGAAGTCTCTTCAATAGTCTTGGCATTGCCTTTGTTCGATTCACCGAGAAGTCTCTTCAATAGTCTTGGCATTGCCTTTGTTCGATTCTCTAGGTGGTTGTTACACACCAGGTTCAATCATTCAAGGTCATTTAATTAACTATCATTCAAGGTCATTTAATTAACTATGGAAATATTTTACAATGTTTTGTAATCCTTAAGGTATTTGATTGGTTTAAAAGAGTTTGAGTAATCTTAGGATTATCTATATCAGATGGTCTAATACATTAACAAGGAGTGACATGGAGTCGCGCATACAAAAGAGGATCAAAGCTATTTAACTTTCTCTGATTACAGTGACCGTTTTGCTTCTAAGAAACGGGGTACTTGTTACTTCGAGACAAAGACAATAAAAGTAATGAAACAATTATTTTAGTCATGAAGAGTAAAAGCCAAAGAGATTCCAAAGAGGTTAATTTGTTTGTCGAGTGTAAAGGAGCCAAAACTAGTTCGGGCAAAAAGACAGAAGTACTCAGTCTGTCATAGAGAACCCTTACAAAGAAAATTACCAGTAGCCTCTTCCACGGCCACGGCCACCACCACCGCGTCTTCCCTGTCCTCGGCCTCTGTGACTACCTCTACCACCACCATATGAGTTTCCCTCAAATGCTTTGTTCACAACCTGATGACTCTGCACACGTCCCTTCTTCGCGCCCACGTTGTTACCGGCTCCATTTGCAGGCCGCTTTACTCTGTCAGGCAGCCAAAATGAAACATGCAAAAACGATAAGCTTATCCACAATTTGAAAAGTTGATTTAATTTTAAGACCAAAAGAAAATTGTGAATTTGGCTTTGTACCCAGTTGTTGCAGAGGCTAACGGCTTTGTGGCTTCTTTCCACGAAAGGTTTACTACACTCTTGTCCCCGATAAAGGAAGGCGCTTTTACATGCAATACCTGTGACATACCATGACGGTTAAATTTACCTTTAACACACTTTTAATCTATAATCAGATTTACAGGTTACAACATATGGCTCTGTTTTTCACCTTTGTCATTGCCAATATGTTGTTGCACGTCCTGAGTCCAGTCGTTGTATTCTGCTTCTTCGTTTTCTGAAAGCAGTTTCAGTTACATTAAACCCGAGGAAAAAAAAAGAGATGATGAAACGATAAAATACGGGAGTGAGAAGTTAGTATTCTCACCACGCTTGACTTCTCTTCATCTGTCTTGGCCGCAGACATGGCTTTGCTATGCTCAGACATTCCTTGAGTTAGTTTCTTCATCGTTGCCTTGGTTAGATCCTCAACACTGGTCAATCTGCGACATCCGTTTTTTAAAAATAAATTTAAACAATTTAATCACAGACTATTTCTTTTAAAAAGAAAACATAATGCAACAATACCTCTCAGTGAATTCCTTGTAAAACTCTGAGAAGTCCTCCCCGAGTCTATCTGATGGCTGCCCAGTCACTATCTTGTACCCGCACAAGCTGTTTGTTGCATTCGGAGCCTATATGTTCAACAGATAACACATAAGTAAAGAAGGAAGAAAAAAAATTACTACCAAGCCAGCTACAGATAGTTGACAAACCTTATGCGCCAAGTGATGAAGAACATATAACAGGCACTCCACATATGTGAAGTTCATCTCTTCCCCAGTTTTCCTCGCAGGCATGTATTTCTGAGAGCAAAACAGTGTGTATAACAGAAAAGTTAGCAAGGCAAGTAGCGTTTACATTCAAGATATGAGACTGTGGTCGAATGTACACCAGAGAAATGATAACACTATACAATTAATATGTCCACAAAGTATATATAAAAGATGTGAAGACAAGATGAAATATGGTGCTTTAGGTATACCTTTAAGAGTTGAACTATGTCGGGAAGCATCTGACGTGCTATCTGAGCTGTTGTGTATGGTGAAATCTCAGCAAGAGCTCGGAGCAAATCAAGCTTTCTCTGCTCTGGCAACTGGTAAAAAAAGGAATTGGTAAATATTATGCTGACCAAGAAACCTCTGCATCTGGAGGAAGAAAATAGACATGCGGCAATATTTGTATGAACAAAAGAGTTTCATGCAAGTTTAAGAGTAATAAAGTTATGACTTCATTGCTTCAAAGCCATTAACTATTCCTTAATATGCCCAAGAGATTGAGGGATCATGTACAGACGACAATACTATCAAACACATCAACGAAAACTGAAAAGGGAATAGATTTATCCTGTACCTTGTAAAAAGCGGGTAAGATATGCTTGCTCAGGTAGTTAAGAAACTTGGTACCTGAAGCACCTTTCTGTACAGAAGAGGGTGAAGTTAGTAAGAATAATGTTTCAAAGCATCTTAACTATAAAAATCCCAAGTGTTACACAGCACTAACTCAGTTCATACCACAAAGAATGGAAGAGCCGTTTGCAGGCATGATATAAACCTGTCGATGTGATTTGAATCTGAAACCTGTGAAAATAATATTTGGACATTAGTTCTGCGACACAAGAATGAAATAATCTAAATGAAACCTTCCGAGACTACTATCACCATATTAGGGTTACAAATTTACATATGTAAATTTTTATAAGCTCTTCCCATGGAAATTAAAACAGATGCAATCAAGTTTTTACGACTCGCTTTCTAGAGTCAGATTTTCATCAAGACAACTGTTGACCCATTCCCTATGTTCATTCCTAGACCGCACAGTATAATGGAGTTGAAAATACAACCTGACTTCATGGACACATTTTCAGGCATCATTCTCACAGAACACGTACTACCAATGAGACCTCCCATGAAACGTTCACTTAAGAAAAACAACTGAAACTAGAATTACAAATGTAAAGATGGTATATCTTTTATAAGCTTTTTGCCGAGAGGGTGAAGTTTATGCTAGGACAAGTATCCTTTTAATCTCACAAACATGCAAAAAGACTAGCAGGCTTCATTCCCAGATAACGACAACTAGTGCAACTAAAATATCAACAAACGTCTTAGAAGAATAATCATTACTGTCACCATATTCAAGAAAGAAACTAATGTTCATCCCCTGGAGAATGTGACACGAGAAACTCACATTAAACTGCGAATCCAAATCAGCCTGTCCTTCAACAATTTCTACAAGTTCTTGCATTCTTTCTTGAGGAGCTTTCCCTCCAAATATACTCAAACTTGTCAGGAAATCCATAAACATATTGAATTCTTCTCCAGAAACATCTCCTAGGCTCTGCAAACATCCAAATAACGTCAGAAGAGGACTACGAAAAGAAAGCAAGACGATGAAGTATGAATGGAACAAAGACAATTCTCAGTGGCCAAAGACATGGTCTAACCTTTTTGATTAAATCGGTTATATATATTTCCATTTCCTCTTCGGGCTTTAACAGCTCCCCTTTAAGAGGAAGCACCTACATAGAAATACAAAATCTATTAAAAGAGGATAAGATATACAAAACCTTTCCAAGAGATAAATTGCGTTCCTGTTAGCTTGCATTATCAGAAAGCTTTCATTTTAAATCTTATTTCTGTAAGAAATCTTTCTCAAAGATAAACAAACACTCCAAATCTTCCAAAATAAGAACCCCTTTACTAAATATGTGCTTATTTTGGATTACGCATCTCAAGTTGTTTTAGCAGTACATTTTGTACCTGGTCTTAGCAGTAGAACCAAAAGATTATGTGCAATAGAAGGCTACTTCATTGTTCATATCGGCAGATTAAAAGATCAAAATAGGTCTAACTTGATGGTAATAAAAACAGAGAGTTATGAATTCCATTAACATAAGCCGAGGAAAGATATAATGAACATCAAAAACAGAATAAAAGAAAGATGTAGAAAAGATTCTGACCTTATCTCTGATGAAGTTTACGACCTTTTCACGGATTTGATCGTCAGTAGTAGGAGTGACCCCAGTATGCTTAAACAATGCAGTCAAGGATCCTACAACAAAAAGTTGAAAAATAATGAAACATAAGAAGCCACTATGGTGCTACAATTACCATACCCCTATTATATATACCCTCAACCTGCAGCTTGTAATTTACACATTTATTTTTATGCTTTATAGGATGGACTGAGTAACACTACAGATAGCAAAACCATAAGACTTCAAGACCAATCTAAATAATTTACTCAAAGTCTGTAAGAGGAATGGTCATTTTCAAACAACGAAGATGAATGCATACCCTTTGTATCCAGCCGAAATAATGACATAAAAGCCTTGTGCACAGCATCACGCTCCACCGACTCCTCTATTTGGATCAAATTACTCCAAGTTAGATCGTGAAAACATAATATGTAGATCAAGTTAAAAGTAACCAAAATCTCAGAATTACCAGTATTTAGACATTGGACAAGAACGTCAATGATCTTAGATGTAAACTCAGGTGTGTCCTTGCTGCAGAACAGCGGAAGCCCTCGGATGGCTTGAACACGCACCTACAATATGATAAGCAAATAAGACTTGTTTTAGGAAACGAACAATAGCACAGCCAGAAACTGAAATTGGTATCGAGTCCCAACACAAGGAAATGAGAACTTCACTTCACAGTTCACACAGTATGTTTAGATAGCTTATTTAACCAACAATAAACCTAAGTTTGAGCATTACAAACTAAATTAAAGTTCATCTCCCATCCGTGATACACTAGCGCACCTACATCTACGATGTACTTGTGAATAGATCGTATAAGAAGACTCGGTACATACCCCTATATCCACTTCCTCGACGATATCCATGTACGCATCGAAAGCTTTCGTCGAGAGACCGGTGAAGAACTTGAAGTAGCGCGGGATAAGCTGTGCTCCAAGCTGCTTGGTCTTGATGCTCGTCTTGGACAACTTGATAATCCCTTCATAGTCTTCAACATTCTGCAAAACCAAGAGGATATTATATAGAAATCGATTAAACGCAAGCATACGAAAGAGCCACAAAATCAACCACACCAGAATCCATTTTCAGACTCATTACGCACAAATCTTAAACCCTAAACCCTTCCTCTCGTCAGACGAGAGACGATTCGGGGAGTACTATATCAAGCAGATGATGATTGATTTCAAATCCAGCAAATACATAAAACCCTAGGTGGGTGAAATAGAGGCGAACCTGGGACTTGTCCGTAGACTGGCTCAGGCGCTCGTCGAACTCATAAAGCTTGTCGATATGCTTGGCATCTTCGGGATATTGTTCTGACATTACGGAGAGCTAGAAGAGGAAGCTGCGATTGAGGAAATCAAAGCAGGTGAGTATATACACAGTTGGATTTTGAAGAAAACAGAACTTATATACACATGTATTCACGTTTCTGCACACATAATTGTGAAGAAGAAAAACTAGGGAGGAAGATGATAAAAGCGGAAGAAGATGGAGAAAAAGGAGAAGAAGATGAGACCGTACATGGCGATTTTAGAAAAGGGCAGAAAGTTGATAATAGTCTTCTCTCGCAGAGTAGCCAAAGGGGTTTTTCTGCTCTCCGCCTTTTTGTTGTTGTTACCTCTGAAGAAGAAAGAGCGAGATATTTGAGCTCCCCCTTTTAACGACGTCGTTTCTTTGATATTTTTTGAGCTTCGGAACACGACACCCCCTTATTTTATCATTTCTTTCAAATTTGTCCCAAAACTTTCCATAAAAAATAAACGTAATAGTCAAGGGGAAGGAATTGAATTCAATCAATGTCGGTTTCCTTGATTACTGGTTCGATTCTTACCTTCCCCGATCTTCGTCTCCGTCCATCTCCGTCGTATTTGACAATCTCCTCACCACGGACACTTTCTCTCTCTTCCCGTAGTAAACCGTCTTCTCTGCACCAGTTTTCTCAGATCTCACCCCCGATCAAAATCACCGCGAGAGGCGCCATGGAGACGACGGCGGAGACAATTTCCGGCGGTGTTCCCAACGCTACGATGAAACTACTGTTCGTTGAGATGGGTGTGGGTTACGACCAGCACGGGTACTTGCAAATCTACGTTTGCGATTTCAGTTGTTCTACTCTCAAAATTAGCGTTTTGATTCAAAATCTTCAAAAAAAAATCGAAACAGGCAAGACGTGACCTCTGCGGCGATGAAGGCGTGTAAGAATGCAATTTCCTCGAATTCGATTCCTGCGTTCAGGAGAGGTAGCTATATTCTCCTGCGTATCAATTAGTATACTTCTGAAACTACTCTTTGCTCAGCAATGACAGTAAGTTTTTTTCTGAATGTGTTTAATCTTGAGGATAATGGCCATTGAATGTGTTGAAGGTTCGATTCCTGGGGTTTCATTTGACGAAATGAAGTTACAGATAAAGCTTGGAGTGCCTCGTTCTCTTCACCAGCAGCTGGATCTTGAGAAGGTTAAGTCTATCTTCCCATAGTAAGTTCCGCAACCTCTAAAATTCACATCTATCATGAGTATATAAACAAAGTTGTTGTCTTTTCAGAAGGAAACTTTGAGTTCTTTGTTTCAAGTACAATTTGAGTTGAAATTTTGATTTGTGCTAGATATGAGTTGCATATATGTTTTTGGAAATTTGAGGTTGGAATTGGATTGGGATTGTCAAAACTTGTTGATAAAAACCGCCATTACCATTACTTACATGGTCTTTGTTGAATAACATCTCTGATCAAATCTTTTCTTGTGTTACTTAATCTTGGAGTTAAAATTTTATCTACTACGTTTTCTCAATCATTGGTTGCTTTTGGTTTGCAAGTGGGAGGATTCTTAATGTGGAGGTTGTGGATGGAGGACTGATTTGCTCAAGCGGTGTTCTAGTTGAAGAAATGGGTGATAAAAACGAAGATTGCTACATTGTGAATGTCGCCGTTTACGTTGGCTACTAGTCTCTTTTGTTTCTTGCGTTTTGACCCTCAAAAGTTTAACAATGAACATTGCAGTCACTTTTAGTTGTATATTTTGATTTCAGAACCCAATTTGGTTTGTAGACTTGAATCACAATAATCTCAATCTCAGCTTAAACATGGGTTTGATTCACACTCTTATGAGAAAGTGTTTACACAGTCTTGGACTCATTAAAATGGCGCGTTTAAGGTATAATCGCGTTTGGGGAAAACCGCGTCACAATAAACCTTGAAAGTTGCTGTATAGCCTTAACCAAAGGCATACCTGTGAGTTCGGCTGTGACTGTGAGTGAAAATTTTGCAGAGAAAAAAAAATGAAAGGGGACAAGAGGAAGATCAATTCGATTTTCGACAACTGCCATGAAACTGCGTCTCAGGAGGATTTTCTACGGAGATGCGGCTTTGCACAACGAGGGGTTCTTCCAGATTCCGATCCCTCCGTCGGAGTCTCGCCACCGTTAAACGACGGGATTTCACCTCGCCGTGTATCCGATGATTCTGAGTCGGATAGTAGTATGATCGGTTACGGAGAGGATTTGGTTGAGAGTCAAGCGATTCGGTTCGTCTCTCCGCCGCAAAGCGCGGATACCGTTGATTTCGAGGAGGATGCGGCGGATCGGACGGTTCCTGTGGAATCAGAAGCTGGTTCAATTGCTTTGGAGAAATCAGGTAATCTGCTGTTGTTAATGGATCGACCATGGTCATCTTCAGGGAATCGTGGTGATGAGAGGTCGGAATCTCCAGCAAAGAAACTGAAAATTCCTTTGAGGGATGTTGTGAAAGCCATAGTTATGAATTCGAGGAACGTAGAGGAAGAAGACAAAGAGACTGAGAAGATGAGCTGCGTGCAAGTCCTCGTCAAGAAGGGATTCAAGTTCCCATCATGATTTGAAGGTGAAAGCTATCGAATTTTCAATCTTTTTTTTTCTAGTGTTCTTCAAGATCAAGTTTTTTTTTTGGTAATAGTAGAAGAAGCTGTTGTCTTCTTGTTGTGGTTCTTGATGGTGATGATGGGAATGTAAATGGTGGATTTTTTTTTCTTGTACCATTTTAAGTGTCGCAAAAAGGCTGAATCTTTCCATTTTCTTTTCTTCTCTACTCCATAGAACTCTGGTTTTGCAAGCTAAACAAGTAACAATGGAGTCATTTTCAGGCTACATTGAATCTCTTTAGATTCATTCGAAATTCGCTTTGCGTTGTTTATGAGTATGACAAAACTAAATGCTTGCTTACTAGAAAATTTACAGAACCAACAAATTTATTATTGTAATTTTATTGAGAATGTCTCTCCTTTGTGAGAGTATTCGCTTTTCTATTGCATCACACACAACACTAGACGATTTATAAGATTAATGTTTATCCCACACGAAAAGAATAGAAAAGGCGTTTTACAATCCCCACCTTCTTCATGCTTCTAGTCTTCTTCACTTAAAACTGTCAGAGTCTTTGCACCTCCAAGAATGTAATTTACAGAATAAAGGTGCTTTTTCCACTTTCTTTCTTTGTTGTAGAAATTTTTCTTACTCGACTCACATCGAAAGAGCTGCGTAGAGAAGTTGGTTCCAAGTATCAGGCAACCCAGGGAGGCACCAGTGGCTGCAATCGTTTCCTTTATCGCCACCATAAGCAGAAGGATGAGCATCTTTTCTCAACTGAGACAAAGTGGTGATGTCGAGCAAGAACACACGCGTTTTCATCGAACTCAACACTTTGGACACAACTCCTGCAGATGGAGGCTGACCACTTGGGTAGTTTGACCCACTCAACGGCTGCATTTGCCCGTTACAATTCTTCCTCGGCTCGTTCCATTCTCTTCCCCTGTCAGTCACCACCCACAAGACACACATAAATCGATTTAGGTTTGCGTTTGAACGCTATGCTTTCTCAAACCGTAGATGTTAAGTGGGGACTTACTCGTAATGAGTGGGAGAAATGCCTTGGAAGAAAACTCGCGTTTTGGTGGTATCGACGTTTTGATCAACCCATCGAGCCCAAGTGCTGAGTCCTTTGTAGAAAGCGTCAAGACGGTTCATGTCTCTCACCAAAGACGACCCATCTCTAATATAATCCCACCTACATTCATATCAAATACAAGAAAAAGAAGAAAGATTCAGGAATAGATTAAGTTATGAAGGATAACATATTTGGTTTAGAGTAATGATGTGGTTGATTAATGGTACTTACCCTTGAGATTGGCCTTTATGAGTCCACCAATGCCAAGAGTTGAAGACAAGAACGTCCATGTTCTTCCAAGTCCCAGCACCTCCTTCAATGGCTCCAAGGTTAAGCACACGCCCTACTGTCTCTTTGGATATATCCACCAGGTATGGTGTTCTATATAGGAATAATGACACTCCATATTCCTGTTTTTCACGTAAAAAAAAATAAAAAAAAATATTAGTTTCAAGATTTTATGAGAATATTTCAAAATATATTTTTCTATTAAAAATAAGAGAATTATTAAGTGAAAGAATAAGGTTTAGCAGAACAAAGAGAATAGTAGAAAGTAGACAGAGAGAGCAAGTTGGACTGTTGGAGTTGTTACTTGTTGGTGTGTACTTACTTTACGTATTGTGTCCTTTTTTATTTGTTTCTATTTTTAGATATGGTAAAATGTTTTTCAATTAATTAAAAAATAATACCATGAATAATAAAAGAGACAAACTTTTCATAGCATAGTGGTAAATAGTGTACTATTTATTAGTAGTTTTTTAAAACAAATAAATAGAAAAAGGTTTGGAGAGGACCATAGTTTTCTTTTCTTCCACATAAAGTGAAGAAAAGACATGTCATTTCATATTGTTTTCAGTTTCGCAATTGATGTATGATAAGAATTTTGCACAATTCTGGTAAAGGTAAAAAAGAGCTTTCAAATGAATAAAAACAAATCAAGATTTTCACGAAATAAGAAAATCAACATGTTTCAATCGAGTACCTATTAACGCTACGGTATTATGCGTCACTTTTCTCATAATGAAGAATTGTAGATGAAGAATCAAATAACTTTTTTCACTAATAAAAAAATGGATATTAGGCAAGTGGGTATTATTAGTCGAACACGAACAACAATATGATAATAAGCATTATTAGCACCAAACAGCTTTTTCAAATTATTTTCTAAAGACTAATATATTATACAGTCCGTGACTAATAAGCAAGCATTCAGTATTTATGACAGCCAATTCATTTTCGTTAATGACAACTATTCTTCGTGAGGATTGATAATTAGATTTTGTATGTATCCGAAGAACATAGTTTTATATAAAAAGATTTAGGAAAAGAAAAGAGACCTGGAAAGTGAGTGTAGAGAGTGGGGTACGCTTTTGAAAAGTGGTCTTGGCGTTTGGTACCGACGCATGTATCATACATCCCAACGATTCCCACATGTTCAGACTCAGTGAGTCTCCCACGAACATGACTCGCTTCCCTCTCCATCTCCTCAGAAACGCCGCACCGTCAAACCTAATTACGTAATCAACACACATTAATCATCATGCATTATACAAATTGACTTAATTATGTCACTTTTTACCATTATTCAATCATTACATTATGAAGTACAGTAATGACAATCACACAGTAACCCACTGAAGCTAGTGTTATTGTAATTATTGTACTAAACAATGCATGTAAAGAGATTTTCGGATTAATCTCCGAATCTTTTTTCTTGTGCTTGTTAACTTAAGTGTTTTAGCCTCAATTTTATTGTTTTTGTTTAAAACTTTGGAATTATACAACAAATAAGAGTATAATTAAGTAGAAACCTTGGGATGGTGCAAGATTCAGGTTGCCAAGAGTACTTGAGGAACTGTTTGTCAGGTCGACCGAACTTGAGACAGTCAAACTCGCCGTCGATGAAAGGACACGTGGACGAGTCATAGAAAGGGTAAGAAGCATCGAACACCCATCGGCCTTGGAACAAGTTACATCCTCCCCTCTGCTTCTTCCCTCTCAGCGACGACATCCCATCGTCGCCGGTGCTGTTGAAGTGGTGGCTGTTTACGAGGAGTGTGTTGTCGGAAGCTAAGGCCTGCTCGGCTCCCGACAAGATTGTGACTGTTAGAAGTGGAAGAAAAAGAAGGAGAGAGATGAGGTTGAAACCCATCTTTTTTATTAAACAAATATCTAAGGTTTTGGGTTTTTGTGAAGAAGATTGTTGATGCAGCTCATGGTTTTATACGCATATATGTGTACGTATAATAAATAATATAGATATGATTACGATAGAACGTTTATGTACATGTTCCTTAATTTACTTCGACATATTCCTTATTCTGCTTTTATATACAAGGACCATGTACATTAAAATAATGTACATATTACTTCTACATATTTTAATGTGAACAAAATTTTGTCAATTATAAATCACACAGTGATCTCGTCTCTAATGCTATAAATAAGGACGTAAACTCGTTATAATCTTAAATTTGATATTCACAGCTTTGAAAGGCTTTATTCGTTGTAAGCTTGTTGTAAATTCATTGTAAACGTGTGGTAAACTATTTGTCAAAAGCCTATTCATCCAAAATATTAATAGGACGTTTTTACAATTTTCGGATATTTAATTTTAAATGTAAAGAAATATGTTAGTTTATGTATAGAAGAAAGTCATTTGCACAACAAAAATAATGTATACAAGAAACGCTTGTATAAATATAAGATCTTGGGTCTTATGATTAGATTCAATATAACAGATGCAATCTTCTATAATATGATGTTATATAGATTAAATTATGCATCCATAATGTAAATTTTGGCTCATTTCAGTACATGGCGTAGTTGATAAGCAATTTTGGGATCCGATTGTAAACTCGATGTTCCGCGAATTAATTTTTGAGTAAATATTTCGATTTTGACTTTTTATCCAATAATTTATCCAAAAACAGAAATAGCTGAAAATCATACGTCTGTTTATTACAAGATTACTTAGGTGACGAAGAGGACTCATGATCTATAATAAAATAGTGTTTGGCTTTTATTATTTTTGTTGTGAAAACAGGTTCCTAGGAAGCTTCAACAAATTGCATAACTTGCTACGATCAGCTTCTGTGGGTCTTCTTAGTACTGCTTATTGCATGATAAATAGATGCATTATTGTTATAAAAAAACAAAAAAAGACGGACGTGATATTATGTCGTTGATCCCGTTTAGCAACAAAATATACTATCCTTTTTTCTTTTGTAGAGAATGACATTAAATTAAAATCTTGAGATATTAAGTCCATCTCAATGATTAGTTTCAGCGTTAAATCAGTGCTATAAATTATACTTAATATGAGAAGAAAGCAAAGTAAAATATAAGCTAATTAGGTACATACTATGCATCTATATGTGGTACTATTAAATTAACAGATAAATTATGTATACGTCAAGCTTTTAATACTACTAATTACCAACTGAGAGTCTGAGATAACAAGTACTTTCTTTGCGCTAGTGATAATTAGGAATATTAAAATGTTATACAAAAATACTTCGGATCTGATAGTCTGCATCGACAGTCCATTTTTTTAATTCGGCATAGACAGACGACAGTTCATGTCAAGCTTTTGGCTCAGTTCTTATAAATTTAGTTTTTATAAATAAGAATCACTTTTGAGAGTAGAAGACAAGGATGAGTTTTCACCGTCGTGGGTTCACAAGTCACATGAAGAAAACACGTATGTTAGGTAGTGTATATATACATCATACATGTGTGTGTCTGTGTATGTCTATGGCAGAGAGAAGGATCATGGAAGGATATGGGGAAGACTCATGAGTGCATTGAGTGGAAAGTGGAGCAGGCTTTGTCTTTCTAGGGAATCTAAAAATGTTTTAATCCCTTTTCTAGTATTTTTCACAGAATCTGATAGTTGTATTTTTTTTTTACTGTTGTTGTTCTATGTAACTTT